AAGAAACTTGTTCAACTTATGAGAGGTGGAAAGTATTAAGTGTTAGAGCTGGAAATTGGGCCCAAGCTACATGATGCCAAAATCCATGTATGAAACAAGACTAGCTGAAGTTTTATGAATAATGTTAACTGGGTAACTGCTCAGACTTCCTTTCTCATATCCATTCAGCTGTACAGTTATGATTTTCATACTTTTGTGTATTCAGTTATGCTTCAATAAAAGGTTTAAGTTAAAAAACAAAAGAGTACAATGTAAAGCCAAGTTTGTGTCAACTCTAGAGAACTTTAATAGGAAACCATTTGGGTACGAGTCGTATTCTTGATTGCATTTTATTCCCTCAGCCTTGTTTTTTATCTTTGTTTGTCACCTATGTTATGTTATTTTCCCATCTTTTGTGTATTTATATTTGTACACTAAGTCTGAATGTCATTTGCAAATAAAAGGGACTGTAGTTAACTTCTAAGCATAGTAGTAGTTTTTCCTAAATTTCCTAAAAATCACTCACATAATTCTAGATTATAGTAGAGCTTCTAGTAACTAAAAGTAAAGAACTTATCAGGTAGAAGAGGGACTTGGTCACCACATTGTTGATTCTTTTCACAGAATGACTTCCAAATTCTCTCTCTTTATTCCAGCATTGCCACAGTTCAGGCCCTTATCATCCATTGCCTAGGTGATTGCAATTATATCTGCATACTGCCCAGTTTCTATTAGCAAGCTCTGAATGACCTATTTCTCACACATCACTGTAATAGGAGTATTCTCACTTAAGATCACTTTTTCTGGGGTGCCTGCGTGGCTCAGTTGGTTAAGCATCCAACTCTTGATTTCATTTCAGGTCATGATCCTACAGTTCGTGGGTTCAAGGCCCACATCAGGCCATGCACTCACAGTGTGGGACCTGCTTGGGATTCTCAGTCTCTCTCTCCCTCTCTGCCCCTTCCCCTGCTTGCGTGCATGCGCGCGCTCTCTCAAAATAAACATTTTTTTAAAAGATCACTTTCTCTTTGTTATATTTATACAATTCTTTCATAATTATCTCCATAACAAATGTGCCAACTGATCTGAAAATTCCTGTTCAAACAGGAGTAACCAAAAAGGATCAATGGATATTCTAAGTTGGACAATGTTTATTGCTGTGCTACAGGCAATGAGAAAATATCCAAGTTTCTTATTTCATTTAAAAAAAAAAATATTTATTTCTTTTTGACTGAGAGAGAGAGCAAGCATGAGCGGGGAAGGGGCAGAAAGAGAAGTGGACAGAATATCTGAAAGGGGCTCTGCGCTGACAGCAGCAAGCCTGATGCAGGGCTCAAACTCATGACAGGAGTCGAAGTCAGAGGTTCAACCGACTGAGCCACCCAGGCGCTCCAACCAAGTTTCTTATTTCAAATGCCTCTAATAACGACTTACAAGGAAAACTTTTCTATTCCATATACTAAACTCCCAAGCTGTAGGTCAGTCTCTTTTCTCATCTATCTCATGAAAGTACCCTTATCTTTCAACTTAGCACTCATAACTACGTGGAAATTTTTCTTTGTCTCTCATTAACACCATACTTCATTTTCAAAAAGGTTACATTATATTACAGCCTTTATCTCTGTAAGCCTCAATCTTTTTCTTCTTATGGGTAACTTTTATGGCACTACATTCTCCCAAATTCTCAATCTTTTATTTTGTTTTTACTTTTAATTTTAAGTAATATACACAGAAATATATCTTCCTTGGAAAAAAAATTTTTAACTTTATTTATTTTGAGAACGAGAGAGGGTGCATGTGTGTGCTAGCAGGAGAGGGGCAGAAAGAGAGAAAGAGAGAGAGAATCCCAAACAGGCTCTGCACTGTCAGCGTGGAGCCAGACGCAGGGCTTGAACTCACGATTTGTGAGATCATAACCTGAGCCGAAATCAAGAGTCACACGCTTAACTCACTGAGCCACCCAGTCGCCCCTACATTCTCTAAAAAAAAATCTCAAAATCCCCATCCTCATGGCCAACCTTAACCAAACTTAACTTTACCTCAAGCTACTCAAAAGTACCTGCCTTAGGCCACTATTCTATCATATGAAATGTATGATGCCTAAACTCCTGCACTGTCTAAAACCCAGCAAATCAAAAGTAAGTATCAGTGGAGAATACCTCTGAGAACAGTGGACATGAAGGAGGTGGTATGCTATTACTCTAATAGATCGAGATAGAAATAATGAGGGCCTGAACATTGACAACAATCATATAGATACAGAGAGGAAACAGATTTGAGAGATATTTCAAAGAACTGATGGACTGCTGACCAAGGTGGGGTTCAAGAAAGGATAGTTTAAGATGACTCCAAGCCATTAGACTTGAATGACTGGATTAATTTGGCAGATTGCCACTCAATAAGCTAGGGAATATTAGAGGGGATGAAAATGGGTCTGGTCTTAAAACGTTTAGCCAGAGAATCCTACATGACATAATGGGGAAGATCCATTACCTCGCTAGACATGGGTGCGAAGCTGAAGAGGAGACCCAATTATACATAGTAAGTGATCAATGAAAGTATGGCATAAATTGACCTAATTGTGAAAGAAACTGACCTAAAATGGCACTGACTTGAATAGGATCTAAGACAGAAAAAGAGAAATAAAAATCAAATATATAATACAAACATAAGCCCATTACTTACCTGCTCAATTCAGATCTCCTTCCAAGCCTCTCAATTTTTTTATCAATGAATCTATCTTTGCCTAAATTCTTCCCATTCCTGCCAGCCCATATTCACTCACTGCTTAGTGCAGTGGATTAAACTACGGTTTCTGAAGCCTTATTTCCTAGGATCAAAACCCTGTTCAACCACTTTACTAGTTGTGTGATCCTGGGCAAGTTAATTAACCACTTCTGTGCTTCAGTTTTCCCAACTGTCAAATAGTAATATTACTTTATAGGGTTGTTATGGGAAATTAAAAATTAGGTTAATGTTTTAAAGAGCTTAGAACGGTGTCTGGAATGTGCTTGATAAGCATTTGTTAGGTGAATAAACAAATAAAGCCTGTCGACTTTCTTTGTGAAATCCTTCACATGTGATCTTTTCTCATTCTCATTTAACACCAAACCAGTTGAGGTCCTCGTTATTTCATATATCACCACCTCATCACTCTACTAAAATTGTTTTTTAAAAGGTCTCTAATGATCTCTCTCTTTTTTAAAGTAATCTCTATGCCCAACCTGGGGCTCGAACTCTTGACCCCAAGATCAAGAGCCAAATGCTCTATGGGCAGAGCCAGTCAGGCGCCCCACTAATGATCTCTAACTAAAGAAATACAATTTTTTTTTTTCTCATTCCCCAAATGCTCTGCATGCATTGTCCCGTGCACCTTCCTCAAAATTTTCTCTTGATTCTGGGTCTTCTTGGACCCTGCACTTTTATACATTATCCCCTACCTCTGTTTTTGCTGTCCCACCATTTCCTCTTTCTGCTTCATAAATGCAGCCATTCTCCCCAAATATTCCCATCTTTCTCACTACTTACTTCCTGATGCCAAATATTACCACAGCTTCTACTTTCATAGCAATAACTGAAACTTTTACCTCTAGCTACAACACTGGGGTTGAGCTGCGGATTTTCATTTCCAACTCTTTACTGGAGAGTTTTATGTGGCTATTCTATTATACCTTTAATTCAATATATCCAAAAAATAAATTTGCACTCTACACTGATTATGGTTTTGTTGCTGATAATGGCATCAACATTCTCCAAATACCAAAGGCCTAAAACCTAGGAATCAGCTTTGCTACCTCTTTACCCCTCAACATCCAATTTATTACGGAGTCTTCACATCATTCACTCCAGCATACTTCCCTTCTTTCCAGTTATACTGTCATAACTCCATTTCAGGACTTCATTAGCTTTCACTAGGCTTATCCCATTACTGCTTCAAAAGAATTTCCAATAAGAATACCCAGACGTTAGCTGAAGAATCCATAATCAGCTTATACGTTCCTTTTCTATAGACTGACTTCTAGAACAACGTGGCTTTCTACAGAGCAAATCTGACTGTATAAGTCTCCTGCTTAAACCTCCTTAAAAACTACCCATCTCTTTTAGGGTTAAACCTTTCACTATCTGGACCTCAGCCTACTTGCCCAGCCTCTTATCTCATCCTATGCACAAGAGCCCCCTATTTCCTCCTCTTCACACACAATTTACCCTCAGGCATTCCTTCACAGCCTTGCAAACTGTTCCTTCTGCCTGAAAAGCTCTTCTCCACTTTATCCTCCCCATTTAGACGTCAATTTCATTCTTCAGCTTTCCTAGCAACTGCCCCTTAAGCAGTTCACACACATACGACTGATATATATATCGCAAGAGTAATTATTTGTTTATATCTGGCTCCCAAACTTGACCCTGGAAAACTGGAAGGGTATCTTACGAAGCCTCCGTGCCTGGCATAGAGTCAGCAATAGAAAAGGTGCTGTGGCCAGTGGCCGATTTGGGGGAAACCCCGGCAAAAGTGTAACCTAGGTCAGCACGCATAGTGAGTCTAGCGGGCTGGCACTGAGGCCTTGCCAGCGCCTCAGCTCCGGCACTTCTTACAAGATGCCAGAGTCAGGCGTCCAAGCCAACTGCTGGGCCCTGGGCTGGGGTCCCAGGAAGAGGTCCCTAGGGCATAGTTAGGCTCCCCACTCCAGGCGCGGGGAAGGGAAAGGGGCGGGGCACAGCATGGGCCGGGTCAAGGGTTCCTTAAGTTTCTCCGGGCCTAGGCCAGCTCCTCGACCCCATCCCAGAGCAGGTCCCAGCCAATCTAGGGCCCCAAGGGGGCTCCCTCTTGAGAGACCCCGTACCCCTGCCCGGCGCTCCAGCCGCCTCCGCACTTACAGACCCGGGAGAAGGCCACCGTCAGGATCCGGCACCGCCAGGAGCTCCGGCCCCTCGGGGCTCCGGGAAGGGGGAGGGGCAGGGAACCCGAGCCAAAGGGGGACCCAACGGAACCGGAAGGGCAGCCCTCGCCGGACAAAACAACTTCCAGGTCCCATGGTCCTCTCCACCAATCGGAAGGCTCGGAGGGCCACTGGCCCGGGAGAGGGACTTAGCGCGCGGAGGACCGGGTGCGGAGGACCGGGTGCGGAGGACCGGGTGCGGAGGACCGGGTGCGGAGGACCGGGTGCGGAGGACCGGAAGAGTTCTGCTACGAGGGTCTCACCCACGACACGGTGGCTGGCTGCGGTTTCGCGTCCGGGTCTCAACCCCTGGGTGCTTCGCCGCTTTGCAGCGGCTCCTCCACCTGCTGCTCGCAGAGGCTTGAAGGGCGCCTCCGCACTTAAGCCTTGGTAAGGCGCTCCCGACTAGGGATGTGGACTCGCCGCGCCGGGGCCGTGAAAGTAAAAGGTGGTGTACTCCCCTTGCTTTTGGATGTTGGTGATTCCCAGAGGTTTCTTTCATTCTCTAGCCTTCCGTTGCCTACATCGAGGTCTAGACTGATCTCTTAAGCCCCAGGGCCAACTTGCCCAGAAGACATTTCCAAGTGGTTGTCCCAGTCTTAATGTGTCTTTTAATTATCTCAAGTTCGTATGCTGACCTGCTTCTTAGTGCCTGTAGTCCTTATGTTGGTAAACGGCATCATCCACGCAGCCTTGCAGACCAGAAAACTTTAGTATCGTTCTAGAGTTCTGTTCTTTTTCCTTTCCAATCCATTTGCTCACTGGGCCCTTTTTTTTTTTTTTTTTTTTTTTTTTTTTTTGGTACGAGGAGGGTGGGGGAGATTATTGTGATAAAACATATACTTATTTATTTTTAAATGTTTACTTATTTATTTTTGGGAGGGAGGGGGAGAGAGAGAGACAGATTCCCAAGCAGGCCCGATGTGGAGCTTGAACTCACAAACAGTGAGTTCGTGACCTGAGCCAAAATCTGGAGTCAGACGCTTAACTGACTGAGCCAGCCAGTTGTCCTAAAACATAGTATTTATAATTTTAAGCAGTTTATAATTTTGTAAGTGTAAAGTTTGGTGGCATTCAGTACAGTCACAATGTTATGTAACAGTCACCACAGCTGTACCCAACTTCATTCTTTTGTATGTGGATAACATTTTTCCAGCACCAGTTCTTGAAAAGACTTTCCTTTACCATTTCAATGGTCTTGGCACCTTTGACTATGTATGTGAGGGTTTATTTCTGGCTCTCTGTCCTGCCACTTTTGAAGCAAGAAAGTGTGAGTCCCCAAACTTTATGCTTTTTCATGATTGTTTTGACCCATTGAAACTCCATGTAAATTTAAGGATGACCTTTTACATTTCTGAGAAAAAGGATGTTGTAATTTTGATTGTATTGGATCTGTAGATCACTTTGGGTGACATTGCCATTTTAACATCTTCATACCTATGAATACAGAATGTCTTTCGAGGTACCTAGGTATTCATTAATTTCACAGCAATGTTTTCAAGTTTAAAGGGTACTTAATTCTTCTTGATAATATTGTAAATGGAATTGCCTTCTTAACTTCGTTTTCATATTGTTCATAGCTGGTAGGTAGTAATAACTGATTTTTTTTTTTTTAGTTTATTTATTTATTTTGAGAGAGAGAGAGAGAGAGAGAGAGGCAGGCAGAGAGAGATTCCCAAGCAGGCTCTGAGCTATCAGTACAGAGCCCAGCATCGGGCTCCATGTCACAAACTGTGAGATCATGACCTGACCGGAAAACAAGAGTAGGACACTTAACCGACTGAGCCACCCAGACACCCTGAAACAACTGTTTTTGTGTGTTATTGTTATACCCAGCACGATTGCTGAATTTGTTTTTGCTTTGGTAGCTTTCTTGTGGGTTCTTCTAGATTTCCTCTCTCTATAATCATGTTGTCTTTCAACAGAGATAGTTTTACCTCTTTCTCTCCATTTGCCTTTTATTTCTCTTTCTTGAGAAAGAAAGAGAATAGTTATAATAGTTCTGGCTGGAATTTGTACAATGTTGAATAGCTGCAGCAAAAGGAGGCATCTTTGACTTGCTTCTGATCTTACAGGGGTAGTTAAATTATTGAGTATGAAGTTAAATGTGGGTTTTTTCCACAAGTACCTTTATCATGTAGAGAAATTTTCTCTACTTTTCTGAGAGATCTTACTATGAAAAGCATTGTATTCTGTCAAGTGTCTTTTCTTCATCCACTAAGATGATCATGTGTTTTTTTCCCTTTGTTTTATTAATGTGATATATTACATTGATTGATTTTATGTCAAACCACTCTGCATTCCTGGAATAAATCCCACTTGGACATGGTGAGTAATCCTTTTAATATGTTGTTGGATTTGATTGTCTTATATGTTATTGAGGATTTTATCATCTATATTCATGGGAGATATCAGTCTCTAACTTACTTATGATGCATTTATCTGGCTTTGGTATCAGGTTAATGAAGGTCTCATAGAATGAGTTAGGAAATATTTCTGCTTTAATTTTTTTGGTAAGAATTTGAGGAGGATTGGTGTTACTCATTAAATGTTTGGTACATTTCACTGGTGAAGTCATATGGTACAGGACTGTTCTTTGTTCTGAGGTTTTTGATTGCTCATTCAATCTGTTATAATTGTGTTGAGTTTTCTATTTCTTCTTGAATCAGTTTAGATAATTTATGTGTTTCAAGGAATTTGCCTGTTTTCTAGGTTTGTTGGCATACAATTGTTCATAGCATTCTTTTATAATCCTTTTTATTTCTGAAATGTCATAAGTAATATCCTCACTTTCATTTCTGATTTTAGTTATTTGCATGTTCTTTTTTGTCAGTCTAGCTAAAGATTTGTTGATTTTTTTCTTTTCAAAGAAACAACTTTTGGTTTCATTGATTTTTCTTTTTCTAGTCTCTATCTCCACTCTGATCTGTTTTATTTCCTTCCTTTCGCTAGTTTTGGGTTTAGTTTCTAGTTTTTCTTGGAGTGCCTGGGTGGCTCAGTCGGTTGAGCAACCAACTCTTGGTATCGGCTCAGGTCGTGATCTTGGGGTCATGAGATTGACCCCGGTGTTGGGTTTCACACTGAGAGTGGAGCCTGCTTGGGATTCTCTTTCTCCCTTTCTGTCTGCCCTTCTGTTCACACGCACACTCTCTTGCCCTTTCTCTCAAAATGTATAAATAAACGTTAAAAAAATAGTTTCTAGTTTTTCTCATTTTGTAAAGTATAAACTTAGGGTATTATTTTGAGATCTTTTTTAATGTAACCGTTTTCAACTATAAATTTCTCTCTGATTACTGCTTTCATTGCATCCTGTTTTGAAATGTTGTGTCATCATTTTCATTCATTTCTAACGTATATTCTAATTTCCCATTTGATTTCTTCTTTGATCCATTGGTTGTTTAAGAGCGTGTTGTTTAATTTACACATTTGTGAATTTTCCAGTTTTCCTTCTGTTACTAATTTCTAACTTTATCCCATAATGGTTGGAGAAGATACTTTGTGTAGTACCTATCTGTTAAAATCTATTGAGATTTGTTTTGTGGCCTAATTATATGGCCTGTCCAGGAGAATGTCCCATGCTACATTAAAAGAATGTGTATTCTGCTGTTGTTGGGTGGAGTGTTCTATATATATCTGTTAGGTTTAGTTGGTTTATCATGATGTTCAGGTGCTCTGTTTCCTAACTTATCTTCTATCTGGTTGTCCTATTCATTATTGAGTAGGGTATTGAAGTTTCCAACTATTTTTTTTAATTAAAAAAATTTTTCTTTAATGTTTATTATTTTTGAGAGAGAGAGAGAGAGAGAGAGAGAGGAAGAGACAGAGCGTGGTGGTGGGGGGAGGGGAAGAGAGAGAGAGGAGACACAGAATCTGAAGCAGGCTCCAGGCTCTGAGCTGTCAGCACAGAGCCCAATGCTGGGCTGGAACCCACCAGCTGTGAGATCATGACCTGAGCTGAAGTTGGACGCTTAACCGACTGAGCCACCCAGGTGCCCCTAATTTTTTTTTATGTTTATTTGAGAGAGAGAGAGAGAGAGAGAGCGAGCATGAGCAGGGCAGGGGCAGCGAGAGACGGAGACACAGATTCTGAAGCAGGCTCCAGAGCCTGATGCGGGGCTCCAGCCCACAAACTGCGAGATCGTGACCTGAGCTGAAGTCGGATGCTTAATTGACCGAGCCACTGAGGCGCCCCAAAGTTTCCAACTATTATTGTAGAATTGTTTATTCTCCCTTTTAATTCTGGTCATTTTTGCTGCATATATTTTGAGGATCTCTTACTAGGTATGTTAATGTTTATAATTTTTAGATAATCTTGCTTTATTGAAACTTATATTAATAAATAATGCTCTGGGGCACCTGAGTGGCTTCGTTGGTTGAGTGTTCCCTTTGGCTCAGGTCATGATCTCGTGGTTCATGAGTTCAAGACTTACATCGCTTGTTTGCTGCTGTCAGTACACAGCCCACTTGGGATCCTATCTCCTCTCTGTGCCCCTCCCCCACTTGAGCTGAGGCACATGCATTCTAAATGATTAAATAAATAAACAAATAAATAAATAAATAAAATTCTTCTTTGTCTCTTGTAACCTTTTTTTGGATTTACAGTCTGGTTTGTATGATGTTAGTATAACCACCCCAGCTCTCTTTTGGTTACTATTTGCATGGAAATTTTTTTTTTTTTTAAGTAAGCTCTAGGCCCAATGTGGGACTCAAACTCATGATCAAAAGTCACATGTTCTACTGACTAAGCCAGCCAGGCACCCCTGGAATATCTTTTTAATAATTCTTTCACTTTTAACCTGTTTATATCTTTGGAACTAAAGTGAGTCTTTTCTAGGCTACAGGTGGTTGTATCTGTTTTTAAAATCCATTCTGTTCCTCTTTGAGGAGTTTATACCATTTACATTTTTTTAAGTTTACTTATTTATTCATTTTGAAAGAGAAGAGAGAGCATGAGAGAGGGAAAGGGAGAATCCCAAGCAGGCTCTGAACTTACAGCACGGAGCCCAACACAAGGCTCTGTCTCACTAACTATGAGATTATGACCTGAGTTGAAAGCAAGAGTCAGATGCTTAACCAACTGAGCCACCACCCAGGCACCCTACATCATTTACATTTACAGTAATTACTGCTAAGGACGGATTTATTTCTGCCATTTGGCTATTTGTTTTCTATAGGCCTTTGTGCCCTTCTTTTATTACTGCCTTTTTCCTGTATTTATTTGAGTTTTTGCAGTTAAAAGTTTTAATTCATCTCTTTCCTTTTATGTATATGCTATAGATGTTTTCTTTGTGGTTGTCGTGGGAATTACATTTACCAGCAGTTATAACAATCTAATTGAATTGATACCAACTTCAATAGCACACAAAACCTCTCCAATATAACTCTGCCTTCTCTTTCTATTATTGTTACAGATTATATCTTTATATACTGTGTGCCCAATAACATAGATTAATATTTTAATACATTGTTTTTTAAATCCTATAGAAAATGAAAAGGTGGAGTTACAAATTGTAATTACAACAATACTTAGTTTTATAATCCCCCACGCACTTATCTTTACTAGAGATCTTTATTTTTTCATATAGCTTCAAATTACTCTTGATCATCCTTTCATTTCAGCCTGAAGTATTACCTCATTTCAACCTAAAGGATTGCTGTTAATGCTTCTTGACGGGCAGGTTTACTGGTAAACTCCCTTAGCTTTTTTAAAATCAGAGATTATTTTAATTTCTTTTTCTTTTTTTTTTTTTGAAGTTTATTTTATTATTTTTTTTTTCAACGTTTATTTATTTCTGGGACAGAGAGAGACAGAGCATGAATGGGGGAGGGGCAGAGAGAGAGGGAGACACAGAATCGGAAACAGGCTCCAGGCTCTGAGCCATCAGCCCAGAGCCTGACGCGGGGCTCGAACTCCCGGACCGCGAGATCGTGACCTGGCTGAAGTCGGACGCTTAACCGACTGCGCCACCCAGGCGCCCCTGAAGTTTATTTTTGAGAGAGACAGAGACCGCGTGAGTGGGGGAAGGGCAGAGAGAGAGAGAGAGAGAGAGAGAGAGAGAGCGCGCGCGCGCGCAAGCATCCCAAGCAAGATCCACGCCACCAGCACAGAGCCAGACGCAGGGCTCGAATTCACAAAACTGTGAGATCACCACCCGAGCTGAAACCAAGAGTTGAACACTGAACTGACTGAGCCACCCAGGCACCCCACTTTTTCATTTTTGAAGGACAGTTTTGCCAGATAGAGAATTCTTTATCAACAGTTGTTTTCTTTCAGCATGTTGAATATCATTAACCCAACTGCTTTCTGGCCTCCAAGGTTAAAGATGAGAAATTGGCTGATAATCTTATTGAGGATCCCTTGTATGTAATGAACCACTTCTCTCTTGCTGCTTTCAAGAGTCTCTCTTTTTCTTGGACTTTCTACAGTTTGATTATTCTTTCTACCCTTTCTCTCTTCTCCTGGGACTCCCACAGTGGTATGTTGTTTCTCTTGATAGTGTCCCACAGATCCCTTAGGCTCTATTCACTGTTCACATTTCTGTTTTTGTTTTTTTTTTTCTTTTCTTTTTGTTCCTCAGATGGAGTAGGAAGCACAGGAAATCCATTTCTCTACCTAGACAACAATTGCACTGGCAGAAACTGTCCGAAATAACTATTTTGGAACTCTGGAGTCCACTTGAATTCTTGCATCTTCCAAGGGAAAGTTTGGTTGGTAAATTGAGGTTAATTTCAGTCAATGTCAGACTTTAGTGTAATAGCACCTCCCTGTTTCCTACCCCTCAACCCTGTGGCAGGCAGCCATGTTCACATTCCTGGTGTGGCTTGCTGGAGCCGTGGTGGGAAATAAGAATCTTGTTCGCCAAATACCGGAGTTCTGTGTTTTGATTGCTGATCACTCCTTTTGAGTTCTGAGATTCAGGCACAGAATAGCTGCCAATGTTTCAACCCTCATTGGCTGAAGCTAGCTCTATGGGATTTGAAGGAACAGCTCCTGTTTTGTTTTTTTGTTTGATTTTTTTCCCTTCAACTACACTTCGGAGCCAGACATTTAAAGATTAGGACATTCAAAAGCAATCACTTACATGGGGAAAATTAGAAAGCCACCATGTATAACCAGGAAAAGATGCAGATTCAGAAAAGAACTGAGAAGACCTTAATCTTTCACCTTAGGCTGATCCTGATCCCTGGCACAGAGACATCCTTCAACAATAAAACACAAACAAAAACAGCAATCCCTGGGAAAGGGGAAGAATCTGATTTCCACAGTTACCACATTATAAGATTCAAATGTCCATTTTTCAGCAAAAAAAAAAAAAAGTCATACAAATAGGGAAGTATGGTCCATTCAGAGAAACAAAATAAATGAACAGAAACCATCCCTGAGAAAGATCAGACCTATGTCTTACTAGACAAAGACTTTAAATAGTCTTAAAGTTGCTCACTGAGTTAAAAGAAAACATGAATGAAGTCAGAAAAACTATGAAAAATGGGAATAGCATTAAAGATACAGAAATTATAAAAGGAACCAAAACGAAATTCTGAAGTTAAAAAAGTACAATAGTAGAAATGAAAAATTCATTAGAAGGTTTCAAAATCAGGTTTGAGCAGGCAGAAGAAAGAATCAGCAAACATGAAGCTACTTCTGTTTTTTTGTTTTGTTTTAAAAAAAAATTTTTTTTTTAACGTTTATTTATTTTTGAGACAGAGACAGAGCATGAACAGGGGAGGGGCAGAGAGAGAGGGAGACACAGAATTGGAAGCAGGCTCCAAGCTCTGAGCCATCAGCCCAGAGCCTGACGCGGGGCTCAAACTCACGGACCGCGAGATCATGACCTGAGCTGAAGTCGGACGCTTAACCGACTGAACCACCCAGGCGCCCCGAAGCTACTTCTGTTTAAAACACCACTTTAGCCCTCTTCCCACACCCCACGCCAATCCCATCCCCTTTCTTCATCATTCAAGCCTTTATTTTTTTTAAATGTTTATTCATTTTGAAAGCACATGTGTGAGCGGGAGAGGAGCAGAGAGAGGGAGAGAGAGAATCTGAAGCATGCTCCTTGCTGTCAGTGCAGAGCCTGAGGTAGGGTTGGATCTCACAAACCATGAGATCATGACCTGAGCCAAAACCAAGAGTCCAAGAGTCAGATGCTTAACTGACTGAGCCACCCAGGTGCTCCTCAAGCCTTTCTGATCTTAGGCAGCCTCCAAACTGTCCCATTTACCCCATTTTGCCTTTTCTACTCCTACCAGAATGATCTTTCAGAAAATCCAAATCTGATATTTGGCACTGTCCTTGAAAACCTCTGAGGCCACACGTGTGTATAGATTGAATTTCCTTTTTTCAGTTTTAGCATTCACAGACTTTCCCATTCTGGCTCCAACGAACCACATTAATCCATTTGAGCCTTGAAGTATAATTTCCAGTTGCCAGGAAATAACAGGTCTAGAGGAACAAACGCAATGATCTCTTGTGGAAACAACCATTCAGATCTAGAGGGTGGGAAATTTTGCACTTAAAGTGGCCTGATTCTTTTTTTTTTTTTTTTCCAACGTCTATTTATTTTTGGGACAGAGAGAGACAGAGCATGAACGGGGGAGGGGCAGAGAGAGAGGGAGACACAGAATCGGAAACAGGCTCCAGGCTCTGAGCCATCAGCCCAGAGCCCGACGTGGGCTCGAACTCATGGACCGCGAGATCGTGACCTGGCTGAAGTCGGACGCTTAACCAACTGCGCCACCCAGGCGCCCCAGAAAGTGGCCTGATTCTTGAGTAAGCCAGTATCTTAATATTTTTCTCAAGTGCTTGAGTAAAAAATACTTGAGGGATAGAACAACCAGATGCAGTATGTGGCCCTGGATTGGATACTGATTTGGGAAAACTAGCTTTAAAAAATATATTTCAGGGTCACCTGGGTGGCTCAGTTGGTTAAGCATCTGGCTTCGGCTCAGGTTATGATCTCACAGTTTGTGGGTTCGAGCCCCATGTCAGGCTCTGTGCTGTCAGCTCAGAGCCTGGAGATTGCTTTGGATTCTGTGTCTTCCTCTCTCTGTGCCTCTCCACCATTCACGCTCTGTGTCTCTCTGTCTTTCAAAAATAAATAAACGTTAAAATTTTTTTTAAAAAACTAAAAAAATAAAAAATATATTTCAGTCAACAGAATATTTCATTATCGTAGATAATAGATGAGAGGAAAACTTATGGAAATGATATTACTGATTTGGGAAAGCCAACTGTAAAAATATCTTTAAGTTGATAAAAAATCAAATGTGATCTAGGAATTAGATGAGAGGAAAATTTACTGAAATGGTAAGATGGATATTGTTAATTGAATAAAGCAGATTGCTAAACTGTGATCTCATTTTTTCAAAAACAATATGTTGGCATCAAGGGATATGCATTACAGTATTAACATTGGTGGGAATGTTATGTTTTATTTTTTATTGTAGTTTGTCTCTATTTTCTATTTTACTCCAAGGCACACTGTACTGAACCTACAATAAAATTTTAATTAAAAATTTTGTTAAGATTTACGTATATATTTGGGGTATACATATGAATCAGAGTACATGAAGGTATTGCCACCAAATATTAAAAGTGTGTCAGGATTTCAGGGGATTTCCAAACACTAACTACATCTATTATTTGATACTTTTTTAAAAAAAATTTTTTTTTTTCAACGTTTATTTATTTTTGGGACAGAGAGAGACAGAGCATGAACGGGGGAGGGGCAGAGAGAGAGGGAGACACACAATCCGAAACAGGCTCCAGGCTCCGAGCCATCAGCCCAGAGCCTGACGCGGGGCTCGAACTCATGGACCGCGAGATCGTGACCTGGCTGAAGTCAGACGCTTAACCGACTGCGCCACCCAGGCGTCCCTTGATACTACTTTAAAATGGGTGTGTATTATTATATAACTGTATAAGGAGAAAAGGAACAAAGCTATTTTCCCGTGGGACTGCAGCCAAGTCTATTGTAATAGAGAAGTCACAAAGAGGAAGGACTACCACAGAGCACGTTTTTGCTTTTTCTCTGGTTGATTTGGGTACATTATCCACAGGAAAACATTATATGACTCATTCACCAGGAAAAGAGCATAGGCTATTTGAATAAAGTAAGGGGAAGAGTGAAGGATAGGCTGTAGAATTAGTTTGTAAACTATCATGACTTAAGTAACACCTTTAGGAGCCACTGTTTTTGTTACCAACTACATTGTAAATTCATTCAGGACAGAAGCTTTAAATCTCATTCTGTTCCTTTTACTTTATATATCACTTTTGAATTTTTATTTTTTTTTTAATTTTTTTCAACGTTTTGTATTTATTTTTGGGACAGAGAGAGACAGAGCATGAACAGGGGAGGGGCAGAGAGAGAGGGAGACACAGAATCGGAAACAGGCTCCAGGCTCTGAGCCATCAGCCCAGAGCCCGACGCGGGGCTCGAACTCACGGACCGCGAGATCGTGACCTGGCTGAAGTCGGACGCTTAACCGACTGCGCCACCCAGGCGCCCCTGAATTTTTATTTTTTAAGATTTTATTTTTAAGTATCTTCTACACCCAACGTGGGGTTTGAACTCATAACCCTGAGATTAAGGGTCGCATAGTCTATGGACTGCACCAGCCAGGCTTCCCACTTTTGAGTAATTTTAAAATAAAATCCTAGCCCCATCTTTGAGTCTAATACTCTAAAACAATCTTGTTTATTGTTGACCTCTTCCCTGTGTCTCAAGTACCTCAAGGCAGCAGTGTTGTAGCCAGTAGCCCTTGGACTTGAGTCAAAATTTTTGCCTTTTAGACTGAAGTATTACTCAGGCCGGACTCCTTTATAAAATGAGAAAAATCGTAACATTCTCGTGGGTTTGTGGTAAAGTCAAATGAGATAACCATAAAAAGACCTATCAATATCTCGCACATTGCGCGCCTTCAATAAAGGCCAGGTGAGGTCAGTCAAGTAACACTGTCAAGGACTGCTTTTGAAATAGTACATGAACGTGAAAGGTGAGCAGGGGATTCCTTGCTCTTTGCGGGTGTACCCCCTTTTGCCTAAAAGGCAAAAGCACTGCAACAGGTGCTACCTAGCCTGATTCCCCTGCCATGCTGTTTCCAGTCCTTGAGGTAGTTCACATAGTCACATAGCCACTGCCAGTCCAAGCCCAGATACATCACAGCTCTAAGTTCAGCTTCAGTATTACTGACAGCGCAGGCGCAGACTCCCATAACAGAGTAAAAGCCCAGGTGGGGCTTCGAGGAAAGGAAGTACGCCCTCGCCGCCTGTTGTTGGACCAATGGGGCTACTCTGTTTAACCGCGGGCCTATGAAACGGGGCAGGAGGCGGGGCGGAGGGCGGAAGAAGCTGTTCTCACGTGAGTAGGGGGTGGGGAGGGAGGCGGCAGGGCGGCTAGGGAGGCCCAGGCGGCGGAGCCTCCGGGACGGCGAACGGCGGGCGGCGGAGGAGGAGACAGCGGGTCGGGTAGGGCCGCGTTTCCCCTCCTCGTCCTCGCACCCTCCTATCCACCAAGCCCCGGGGGATTCTCTGACAGCCCCTGCGGAGAGCCAAGCTGTGTTCTCATCCCGCGGGGCTGGGCTGGGCAGATTGCGCTCACCTCCCTCGACGAGCCGGGTTCTGAGGGTGCCGTGATTGGGGGGAGGGGGAGCTGTGGCGGAGGGGAGAGGGCGCATGCGCATGCGAGAACGCTCCCGCAGCCCCTGCCCAAACCGGTTCCCCCTGTCTGGGTGGGTGTCTTGTCTGCCGAGTCCTGCGCTTGCGGCGGTTCTTCTGGCCCCCGGGCAAAGCTGGATTGTCTCTTGACTTGAATGTTTTGGGCCAGGTCCTGTTTGGGAATCTGACTACTCCCTACGCCTCA